AAGACAAATTAACATGGATAAAATATTTCCGTAATTTTCTCGAAAATATGAATGAATCATGAGGTTCCATTTTTCTCTATACACATACAATATACACAAGTTATGATTCAGCATCTTGGTTCAATTAATTCCTCTCAGTCTACTAGCTTAGTCTGCTTAGGTGTAAAACATGTGTACAGGTATATAACCCTAAACCCACTTGTGTCATGTGCTGTCACAGCAAGAGGCCCAATATACACCTTCATACCTGTGTCAAACTATGAGTTCAAAGGGAATCAGCAGGTGGGTAAGTGGTAACCTGGACTTGAAGTTAGTGGATTTATGGAGGTTATGCTTCTTTCGATTTTCCATTTTACAAAAAATGTTTTCAGTCATGATGACGAGGAAATGTATATGGACCAATTTGAAGAAAAATATCGCTGAATAAAATGCAGAGGTCTGACCAGACTGTTTATCAGTGATATATAATCTATTTTTGTGAGCCTTAAACGAACAGTTCTTCCTCTGTAAAATTTGTTTAATTTGGTTTGTACATTTAACAAGTGTTAACATCCTAAAATCACTAATAAATGTTAAATAAAAGAAATTTTTCTCCCCATTCCTCTAATTAATGCAAATATTCCAGAGAACTTCTGTCACAAGTACTACATACTTTATCACGCTGTTTCCAGATTGTCATGATTGCATATTGAAATACGCACGTTTCTGTTCATTACGAGTGTGAATTTTTTAACTGTTGTATTTGTTCAAATAGTATATCTCAATTTGAAAATAACTTTGGGGATACCGGTGCACTTTCATTAATTTGATGAAAAATTTTAATCAGTTGTATCAATTAAGGATTCGTCATAATTTCTAGAGATCGATTGGATAATAAAAAATATAACATTTACAGTCAATAGATTCAAGAATTATGAAAACACAGACTAATGTAGATAGCATCTGCATGTGTGTCCAGACACTCGCCTACAGTACATCGTTTGTCTACTTGAAAGGGGAAAAATATTGAAATGGTAAAAACGTCATTTCTATATCGAGTCAAAACTTAACAATGTGTGCAATTTAAATAAATCAAAATATCTTGGAAACGGAACTAACTACGGCGATTCCACTTTCTTGGTCTTTTATTGTATAATATGAATAATTTTCTAGCTAAATATAACAAAACACTCCGGGTACAAAGTCAACAAAATGTAATCAATTTTCGTCCTTATCAAAGCTATCAACCCGTCAACCGTGATGGCTGTTTTGTTACATCACGTACTTCAATATATCTATTTAAATCCATGGTTACCACACAGTCAGGCCCAGGGTTTTCCTAAACAACACCTATTTCAAACATTTTATCAAGTTTCACAGTTGAGATTCAGCTCAAACGTGCCTGAAATGAACCTGACAAATGTCATTTGTCGGGAATTATGCTCTGGGTAGTGAGAGGGAATAAATATAAAACAACCATCCTCTTCAACTATCTTCCTTTATTCTCCTCTTAACACATGAGAGTTACAGTAAACAAGGGAGGCAATAATGTAATACAATTATCGAAGTTACCTCCCCTTTGACCATCTGTGGATGGTTTACATACAGCTACCTATATGTGTATACATAACACATGATTTTATGACGCTGTGAGTGTCGCATCATGCAGCCATCACCGGATTTATAACCTGAAACTGCATAACTTCTTCAAAAACAACACAAAACAAAAATAAATAAATAGAACACATATATCTCCGTGAAAGGATATAAAATGTCGTTTAAAATTATTTCATGAAGTAGTCGATGGTGCTATATTACGAAATAATACTATATAAGATCAACATATAAAAATGTGAATGTCATTGTGATCTGAATGTTACTTATTCACCCCTATCTAATATTGGAAAGATCAATCATTATGCCACTTATAACTGTTATTTGATGGACCTGATTTTATTCCCGTTTAGTAAGAAAATTTCATTTCAATTATGTATTATTTCTCTTACGTGAAATAGATTTTCATTTCCACTATGTGTTCGGGCTCTGAATGGAGTTATTGTAAACATCAAAGAATTTGTTGATGGATATGCTAGTCCAAATCTATTGAAGATGGCGGGAGTTCAGACACTCAACTGTTTGTTTAATTCCACTGAAGTGATAAAGATTTCACTGAAGTGAAAAGAAATATCTCTTAAGGCTTACAATTTTTTCCACTTAAGTGAAATTCTTTTTCACTGGTGTGAATTAAAACATAACGCGACAAGAAGTTAAAGTATCTTAAGGAAAAATGAATTTCACGGAAGTGTAATAAATTTAATGAACATTTCGCCTCAGGTGGAAATAGGATTAAATGTTAAAACAGCTTGTCATATGGCATACATAATAATTCATAAAATTCCACATTTCATCTGTAAGAATTCCGAACTATTGCACACAATTCGTCTGCTCAAAACAATTTGGTAGGCCAGCTGAATTGTTGTTTTCTTCATATACTATGTGCTAGTGAAGGTAGTTTCAAGATCGGCGACACGAGGAAGTTTTCTTTTCTACCGTTAGAGTTGCCTCCCTTCGTTCATCCATTCGAAGTTTCAAACGCATCACTTGCATTGAATTTGTTAAATTATTTTCATTTATCTTCGGGAATTGTAAAAGTGTTGATTGAATGTTCATATCATGATTGAAGAAAATATATAATTCAAAAGGCAACCGATTTCCGATGGTGTTTTAAAACCAAAAATGTGTGTTTTAGTTTCATTTCCAGTGAAACCTCTGCACTTAGTTTTTGAGAGCTAGCCACTTATGCGATGTATCAAACAGATAAGTAAAATTCTTTTCAGTTTTGGACAAAAATATTTTGAAAATTGATAAAGTATGTTCGTTGTACAAGCGAGAGAAAGGCTTATGTAGAGATTCTTAAAAAAGTACAAAGATAGAAAGACCAAGTGTACTCGCTGAGACAGGTCAGCGCTATCTGATTTAATCACAACACGTTATATTTGTCAATCCAGGCACAGCATGTAAGTAATGTCATTTTCCCAAATGGTGTCATGACGAGATCATTAAGACGCAGTAAAAAAAGGGGAGAAAAAAAAAAACAACAATAGGGAAATTGAAATAACCATGCTTAATAAAATGGCCGACAGATGGTCATCTCTGATAACTGGAGTATATATTCATTTCTGATCTTTTTCAAACACTCAGATTTCATAAACAAGTTTTCTCCGTTGACCCCAGATGTGACTACTTGATTTTGGGACAATATGACTGCAGAACACTGATATAGATAAACAAAGATCATACGACTGTGTGCCGAATTTCCTTGAGAAGGGCTTGAAAAATATTTCTCAAACTTCACATGTGTCCCTAGTGCTTTCCATTTTGATATTTTTAATTTGTTGTCAGTATTTCTTGTGGATAATTTTATTCATACTTCACATGTTTGTTTTTCTCGAGATTAATTTTTACCTTCACAGTTGGTCTAAACTGACTGTCAATATTAGTGTCAGTCTTCAGCATTAGAACGATCACTGGTTTGCAAACTATCTATTTTTACACCTGAACTCGTTTTAAGGCAGGTGAAAAACAAAAATATTTTTCCCTCGTCAAGGTAAAACGACAGAAAAAACATTCTGAAAATGGCTACTTTGTTCATTGTCAGCATGGTACATATGACTATTTTGCAAATATAAAGAAAATGAAAACATTTTAGGACTTCATTTAAAAATATGTTTTAGATGGATATCGTAATTTTCAGATAAACGAGGAAGAGGAGTGGGAATTTAGCTTCTCTTCATAAAACCCTTAATGGATCACAATCAACCACATTGAACTGAAACATTATTGGAGAGGGCAATCATTTCCGAAATGAATTTTGCTGGATTATCTGTGTAGACTTAAACATCACAGGAAGGTGTAATACTGTCAAAATGAGGTTAGTTTTACCTGTTGGAACAGACGGACGGGACTCGAAATAGGAAATTACCTTAGAGTTAACTTTAAAATCCTCAAGGCCTGAATGGATTCAATCGAATTTCGTCAAAATTTTACTTTGAATAAAATTCTTCTCTTTTCCCCTTAGGTAGCAGAAAATAATTTTTTTTTTCGGTTCAAATAGATACTCTTCATCATGGCTAAATATCTGCTTAACTGTCAGATGATCGGTACTGGTGTCTTTGTATGTAAAGTTAACAAAACTTAACACTGGCTAGAACAAAAACAAATCATGTTCAACACTTGAAACTTTCAACAGTTTGTCCTAATATAGATCTTTACCAAATTTCTGATTGGACGCATCGTTTGGAGCAGGAGTGGCGATTTTATATAAACGTTGGGCAGTACTTGAGAGGTAAAACATGCGGATTAGCAATTTCTGGCTTGCTTTTGTACAAATGAGGGGTCTTTATCCCCAGAAGAAAAAGGTTGAATATTTATCTTTGGTGCGATGGTGAGATTTTCGCCAAATTGGCCTAATGGTGATAGGCAGGCACCTTGAACCTCTTGTAAAACCAGTCCTTATCGTAGGATACAGTTTCTGTGACTGTAGATCCTCGGTCTCTTGACTTCACTTAGCTGCTCATTCTAATACTACACTGTCTATTTGCCGAACTTGTAACAATCTCTTACAAAAAAAAAAAAAAAAACTATAGGGGTCGAAAGCATGCCTCTATATTTCCAAATTTTGCTGTAATTGGAAGAATTAGTTCCCTGTCTCTTGAGGTCTTGAAGTCTTTATTTATTAACGTTTTCATTTAAATACTACGCCTCTTTATCCAAAAAGAAGCACAACCGAGCTAACGTTGATATGTTATTGTGGCTAACCTGAAAGAAAGCCATATCTTTCACTACCTACAGTGTTCTCTAGGCTGAGTCCGACTAGTGAAAGAACAGTTATCTCACCTATAACTAATTTAGAAGTTTGTGGTCTTTAATCTCGTCTCCCAGAGACTTTGACTCCATATGAGATATGAAATAATCTTTTTTCATTGGGTATAAAGTATTTCTTATAACAGCTATAATTTTGTTTATTTTTTGCCAAATAAACGTCTTAAAAACCTCCGTCTCCTCCGCCTCCGGATAATCACCGGAGCTGGTGTAGTCCTCATCTTTTTTCGTCGTTCCTGTTCTGCTCGTTCCAGAGCTAGCTTCCTAGCAAGCTCCTCATTACGTTTCCTTTCTTGTTCTTTTTGTTGTCTTTCAGCCTCCTGTATTCTCGCAATCTCTCGAACTCTTTCTTCTGCTAAACGTTGCGCCTGAATCCTTTCTTGTTCCAGACGCTGTTTTTCTGCTTTCTGCACCCTGGCAATTCTTTGACGTTCGGCTGCAGCAGCCTGTTCAACTCTTTGTATTTCTAACTGTCGCGCAACCTGAGCAGCTTTTTCTGCAGCTAGCACTTTAGCTCTCATTTCTGCGATCAATCTTTCTTGTTCTTGCTTTTGTCTTAGGAATTCTTTTTCCCTCGCCTGCCGTTCTGCTTCTGCCTTTTTCCTTGCAGCCTCCTGGGCCTTTTGTAACTCTAACTGTCGAGCTGCCTCCGCTGCCTTTTCTGCCGCCAGTTGTGCGGCCAGTTTCTTAGCATTCTCTTCTGCTAGCTTTGCCCTTTCTACAGCTAGCAAACGGTCTTTTTCTCGCTGAAGCCATTCAAGGGCTTTAGCAGACAAAATATTCTGTTCGTCAGGTGATATGAAAGACGAAGCTGTATTGTCAACTGGACCGGCAGTGTTCGTGTTGGGATCCCTTTTCCTGTCACGCCTCTGATTTCTATCACGTCGGTTGAAGTTTCTGTTCCTATTTCGTCGAGGTCTTTGATCTAAAGTATTTTCGGACCCCACGACGGTGTGTCCCTGTGCGTCTGAAGGATCAGGAGTACCTTGTCCTTGCCTTTCTAATCGACGTCTCTCCTGTCTTTCACGTCTTTCTTGTAGGCGTTGCTGTCTCCTTTGCTCTCGACGGGTCATCTGTTGATCTCCTTCAGTACCAGGGACAGACTGGCCTGAACGATCAGGTCTGTTTCTGCGGTTCAGTCGTCGTTGTCGTCTCCTTTCACGCCTTTCTTCCTGCGTTAGGTTTGGGTTAGAAGGATCGGTTGCTGGATCCGTCGACGGGTCTATCACTTCAGATTGGGACGGTACACTGGCATCAACAAAGTCGGATATGCTGGTAGGCGTTCCTTGGCGCATTGCCATGGGGCTATTGATAGGGTCGATAGGATCAGCCGCTGAGGACTGTACCCCGTTCCAACGATCCCATTCTCGTTGTCGCCTGGCTTCAAGCAGCTCCTGACGTGTTGGAACTGATGGTTCGGTAAGCTGCTGTACTGTGGTGCCGCTATTACGAGGATTTTGACCGGTCGGTCCATTCGCAGCTTGGTTGGACGTGAATTCACTCGTAGGCCATCCTAAGTTAGTAGCTTCTTGAGTTTGTCCACCGTGAAATCCGCTTACGGTAGAAAAACTGTCAAGTCCAAGGAAGTCTGTCGGACCGCCACCTTGGCCACTCAGCACTAGAAATGGAAAATAAACATGACTGGAAAACCCGACAAAAACAATATATTGTAAAGCGTTAAATAACGTGCATATCATTGGGAAAGCTTTGAGTGTTAATGTTCCTGTTGTTTTTATATTCCTTTACTGATACATTATCGTTTTTGTTTATTAATTCGTACACCTTGAATTGTTCACGTGAGTAATGGTTTTCAAAAGAAAAGGAAAAAAGGAAAAGATTTATGTCGTTAGAAAACGTTAGTCAGCCCCTTTGATTCGATAATTTATTAGTTGAAAGTCATCTTGTTAAAACCTGTAGAAGGCTGTTATCAAATTAGAAGCATAGAAGTTTATTGTCAAATTGGATCTATAGACTTTTGTCATAAAATTGGATGGTAAACTTGTCATGGGCGTTTCAAAGCGGTGTGATTACCCGTACATGGTAAACTTGTGATGGGCGTATCAAAACGGTGTGATTACCCGTACACGGTAGTCTTGTCATGGGCGTATCAAAACGGTGTGATTACCCGTACAAGGTAAACTTGTCATGGGCGTATCAAAACAGTGTGATTAACCGTACATGGTAGTCATGTCACGGGCGTATCAAAACAGTGTGATTACCCGTACACGGTAGTCTTGTCATGGGCGTATCAAAACAGTGTGATTAATCGTACATGGTAGTCATGTCACGGGCGTATCAAAACGGTGTGATTACCCGTACACGGTAGTCTTGTCATGGGCGTATCAAAACGGTGTGATTACCCGTACACGGTAGTCTTGTCATGGGCGTATCAAAACGGTGTGATTACCCGTACACGGTAGTCTTGTCATGGGCGTATCAAAACGGTGTGATTACCCGTACACGGTAGTCTTGTCATGGGCGTATCAAAACGGTGTGATTACCCGTACACGGTAGTCTTGTCATGGGCGTATCAAAACGGTGTGATTACCCGTACACGGTAAACTTGTCATGGGCTTATCAAAACGGTGTGATTACCCGTACACGGTAAACTTGTCATGGGCGTATCAAAACGGTGTGATTACCCGTACACGGTAGTCTTGTCATGGGCTTATCAAAACGGTGCGATTACCCGTACATGGTAAACTTGTCATGGGCGTATCAAAACGGTGTGATTACCCGTACATGGTAAACTTGTCATTGGCGTATCAAAACGGTGTGATTACCCGTACAAGGTAAACTTGTCATGGGCTTATCAAATGTATCAGGGTATTTGTGTAATGATTGAGTGTTATTTATCATGAGTTAAATAAGTTGTGGATATTTCGATTACTTTCATATTCCCATCATTATTTAATCATCAATGTTCTTTCTCACTAGTATGATGTACAAGAATGTCTTTATGTTCCCTATATATAATTAAACACTCATACAATTTGTTATGTATGTCTTTTTAATAAATCTTGAAATATTTGCAAAGGACCTGTTTCCAGTAATGTTAATTCTCCATAGGAGCCTGCCCCCGTATAATTACTTATCTAGCTCAACTACTGTTTTTTTCTTTTCCGAAAAATAATTTTACACCTTTCCGACACCCAGATTTCATAATTTCAGTGAAAATGTATTTTTATAAAGTTGTCAATTTCAGCATCAAAGACATAAGTTCGTAAATAAAAGAATGTTATCTCGAAACTGTAATTCGCATCATAGTATAAATTTCTTATGATAAATATTTCCAAAACATCGTGTTTATTCATAAAACATAAAAAAAATATTCTCGGATGAAAATGCACTTGCAGAGACACAATTATGAAGAAAAATGCCATAAATTTGCAATTTTCTCCCGTTATATAGTTTTTCCATCAGAAAATCGGATAGAGCTTTACTTGTTTCATATGTGTACCAAAAATCAGCTGATTCCATGTGGTGGAACGTTCTCATATCGCCGCCTAAATGTGGTTGTAAATTGAAAGAAAAGGGGAAATGAGTAACAACCTTGTCTGAAACCCTATTGTATAGCTTATTATATACAAACTTTTATATTGAATATCAGAGCGGATATTTTCATGACAGTTTTATGATGTGTAAAAAAAAAAAAAAAATAAAGTACTGTTTCCCCGTCTCGATCTTGATTACTTGAGAACCATTACGTGTGGAACGTATCAGATATCTCTGGCTCCTGGTTACATCGTCGAACATTTAAGTGATGACGGAGACTATGAGGTGTGGCTTTACCAGCACTCCCCAGACCTTCTCCGATGTCAAATACATTCTCGACACAAAAGCCAAACGAAATATAACGTTTGGATACGGTTCACCGTTTCACCCGATGTTGAGGCCCCAATAAAGGACTTCTACTGCCAGTGCCCAGTTGGAGAGAGAACGATGGGAATGTGTGCGCACATCTCCAGTATCTTGTACTACCTTGGGTATTACAGGACGCTGGAAAACCCTCGAGCATTACAACCACAGGTAAAGAAATTCCGACAAAACTTGAAATAGTTTTCCATGCGGCAACAACGTGCATATGTCGAAAGTATGTTTGGGGCTCGATATGAAAGATCCCCGTTACCATGTGACTAACCAAACTTATAGATATAGGTATTATACAATCGCCCGTAGCTATGAACACTCCCGTAAATGCGAAAACCAACCGAAATCATAAGGAACACGTTTTGTTTGTTGTTCTGTCTATTTGTCAGCCAATGTCTTCAACCACGGGGACTTGCGAAGTAGCCATCTTGGATTTTTTTTATGAAAAAGTGTTTCTCTCACTTTTTTTCATATCTGTGTACATATTCTCAACATACCGAGCAAATACTCTCGTTTTTTTGTTAATTATCTAAAGAAAGTCGAAAATCGGCAATTCAACCATAGGCTAATTCAACCCAACATTTGAAAATGTTCCACCACTTACATTTTGATGATTTTTCCTCTCATCATATTACGTCCTATTTAATAGGATAAAAATTGGTTTGCATCCAACGCCCATAAAAGGGTGCATTCTCTAAAAAACACAGTTTTTGTGTCTAAAGTGTTATCATCGAAAATGGCATTTTTGAGATTGTTTCTTCCATAAAACAGCCAAATGGCGCGATGGAAACATGTTTTTTTGTCACAATCATGCCATGAATGTATTCTTTACGGTGACTATCATTTGATTAGATTTTCATTAATATTTTACATAACGTGCACATTTTATCAACATTTAGACAGCTTCTGAAAGGTACAACTTTGAGGAGCCATAAAAGACAAACCAAGTGACCTAAATCTTTATACTTTATAGATTTGTGACCACAACGGCATGGGCAATGCACCACCAACAGGAAATTTGAATCAGAGAAAGGGCCGTTTTGGAAACCGGCCCTTTCCTTAAAGGGGTAGTCACCTCGATGATTTCACATTTTTGCACAACAATCTACACCAACATATATTCTGATCGTTTTCAGTGCTAGTATTATAAAGGTGTATTGCAACCTCTGACAATTAGATACACGAACAGGTGAATAAAGTAACAATAACTTCGCTTAAAGATGTTAATTCTTTCAGTTCGAGATTTGTGTTAAAAATCGATAAAGTACTTACTGGGTAGTAAACACGATAAAACGATAAATCCCACGGACAGAATCACTTCTCTTGTGATCATCTTCTTTGTTATACCTGGTAAGGGGCGAATTGTTTATAATATATACAAATCAGCCCACATAGTTTCCTGATTGAGCACATTTAATTGTTTACGTAAGTCGGGAAAAGGATATACACACTCACACACATATATGGAGATGTGTACAGGTCACAAAAATATCGAGTACCTGAGAAAATTCCGTTTAGATGCCTAGATATCTACACTATTTAAGGATAACTGATCATAGGCCTGTTCCGTCCTTCATCGCTGAAGCTTTGGGTTTTGAAACATATTGGGAACTTTTTGGCCGCCTTTTTTTGTTAAATCATTTGTTTTCTATGTATATACCGGCGACTTTGACGAGAGATAGCTCATCTCATGTAACAGCCATACAAACCTGTTACTCTCGAAATAACGTTAAAAAATCATCAGCGGTTGTGATTACTATATATATTCCATGATATTACTTCAGATAATGTTCATTTGCTAACCTACATCATGTAACGGTGGTGAATATGCAGGTAAACCATTGAGTTCACGCATCAATGAATGTAAACAATATGACAACCAATTAATATGATATCGGTTTATATATCTTACTTGGTCAAAAGGACCGGTGAGCGTCCCTCGTCCGGCGCACGTGCGGCGTACGATCGGCGTTCGTAAGCTTCTTTTTTTATATATAAAGGTCGCTATTAATCATGAACGACAGAACAGATTTCGACCAAATGTGGTCAGATGCACCCTTGGGGAAAGGGAACAAGGTTTGTATAAATATCGGTTTCCAGACTCTAGAGGCCGCAGGGGTTGGGCCCAAAGGGGGAAATTCTGCAATTTATTTAAAATCCCACTATATAGGAATGAATTGAAATTGTCCAAATTTGGTCTGAAGTATTCTTGGTGACAGAAATATTAATCTTGTGTAGACATTGGGTCTCGGTCAGGAGAGCAAGAAGGGCGGGGCCCAATTGGGGAATTAGAGTTAATTCTTTAAAATCCTACTCCTCCTGTAAGAATGAATGGATTTGCTGGAAGCATCATTCGATGAAGGGGGACCAAGTTTGTATAACTATTTGTTCCAAGGGCCTGAAGGGCGAGACCGAAAAAGCGGCAGTTTGCATTGTTGCTTGTAAAAAAAAATATGTCATGTTTTGACCTAACACTCACAACCTTGTGTTTTAGATTATAAAATTCAAAATCTTGAGATTTCAATGTAAAATTCAAAAAAGAGATTCAAGATGCAAAACATTTCTTCGATCGAATACTTTTGGTTGAACTTCATCTGACTCCTTTGTAACTCCATACAAAATGTGACCTCATCGTTTACAATCCATTACGATAATGTGATGTAACGGTGTCCCAACCTAAAAACAAACAACCATCCATAATGTCTCCATTACATACCTCACCAGTCGGAAACAAAACACCTGTCATGTACTGATGACGAAACCACAGCGACGTAAACGTTCTACACAAACTCCGCTTACGTCATGACAGGAAATAACTCGTGTATCGTGTCACTCATATCGGTAAACAAAAGAGTGTCTACCAACATCATCACATGCTTCAATAAATCTTAACGAATTCTCCGGTAAGCTATTTAGCACAATTGAATTCGTGTTTTCTGTCTATTGTAGTGCGCTGGATCGAGTAGAGTTAGAAATAGTCAGGATGGTTATGAAGGATAAAGTGGGATTAGTCAGGAGGATTAAGTAGGATAAAGTGGGATTAGTCAGGAGGATTAAGTAAGATAAAGAGGGATAAGTCAGGAGGATTAAGTAAGATTAAGTGGGATTAGTCAGGAGGATTAAGTAGGATAAAGCGGGATTAGTCAGATAAAGTGAGAGTCAGATTAAGGAGGATTAAGTAAAATAAAGCGGGATTAGTCAGGAGGATTAAGTACGATAAAGTGGGATTAGTCAGGAGGATTAAGTACGATAAAGAGGGATTAGTCAGGAGGATTAAGTACGATAAAGTGGGATTAGTCAGGAGGATTAAGTACGATAAAGAGGGATTAGTCAGGAGGATTAAGTACGATAAAGAGGGATAGTCAGGAGGATTAAGTAAGATAAAGTGAGATAAGTCAGGAGGATTAAGTAAGATTAAGTGGGATTAGTCAGGAGGATTAAGTACGATAAAGTGGGATTAGTCAGGAGGATTAAGTACGATAAAGAGGGATTAGTCAGGAGGATTAAGTACGATAAAGTGGGATTAGTCAGGAGGATTAAGTACGATAAAGAGGGATTAGTCAGGAGGATTAAGTACGATAAAGAGGGATTAGTCAGGAGGATTAAGTAAGATAAAGCGGGATTAGTCACGATAAAGAGGGATTAGTCAGGAGGATTAAGTACGATAAAGCGGGATTAGTCAGGAGGATTAAGTAAGATTAAGTGGGATTAGTCAGGAGGATTAAGTACGAGAAAGTGGGATTAGTCAGGAGGATTAAGTACGATAAAGAGGGATTAGTCAGGAGGATTAAGTAAGATTAAGTGTGATTAGTCAGGAGGATTAAGTACGATAAAGAGGGATTAGTCAGGAGGATTAAGTAAGATTAAGTGTGATTAGTCAGGAGGATTAAGTACGAAAAAGCGGGATTAGTAAGGAGGATTAAGTAAGATAAAGTGAGATAAGTCAGGAGGATTAAGTAAGATTAAGTGGGATTAGTCAGGAGGATTAAGTAGGATAAAGCGGGATTAGTAAGGAGGATTAAGTAAGATAAAGTGAGATTAGTCAGGAGGATTAAGTAAGATAAAGTGGGATTAGTCAGGAGGATTAAGTAGGATAAAGCGGGATTAGTAAGGAGGATTAAGTACGATAAAGTGGGATTAGTCAGGAGGATTAAGTACGATAAAGAGGGATTAGTCAGGAGGATTAAGTAAGATAAAGTTGAATTAGTCAGGAGGATTAAGTACGATAAAGAGGGATTAGTCAGGAGGATTAAGTAAGATAAAGTGAGATTAGTCAGGATTAAGTACGATAAAGAGGGATTAGTCAGGAGGATTAAGTACGATAAAGCGGGATTAGTCAGGAGGATTAAGTAAGATAAAGAGGGATTAGTCAGGAGGACTGAATACGATATATAAAGATTAACCAGTAGAAGACATTGTAGTATGTGTTGCTATCTCCATTTCTAACATTGTGCTACAACTTCACGAAAAGAATGGATTTCTTACTGTTTTTCATATACTAAGTTTACACGGGCTAAACATGTTTTTGGTAAGTTGAATGCGAAAAAGCTTAAAAATTTCATTTCATTTGAACTAACATTTCATTCTACCTGAAACTGTCGATCCTGCCAAAACTGTCATGCAAACGTTTGTAGTGTTAACACAGAGATTAGAAGTCAACATCAAAACATCAAATAAAGCATTAATTTGTGTCGTGTAAAGTACATGGCTTTGTTCATGCCTCCATACACTAACCAGATGAGCAACCTTCTTTACATCAAAAAAAAAAATATTTCAGATGAAATGTATCTGATGGAGCATTTGGTTGTAATTCATGGTAAGTACGTACTTATGTCAGGCTATAAAACTATATCTAACGTATTAGTCCTACAGACACACTTATTCCTTACACAAATATTGAAATGTGAAGTACAAAGTAGTTCATCATCAGTTTGTGAAACATATGTGTCATCCTGTACGGACATTGAATTAATTTTGTTAATAAATAGACCCTGTCTTTATGTACTTAAAATGATTGACGATCTCACAGGTGTAACCATTCTATATGAGATTTATCATGAGAATTTGACTGTAAAGCACATAACTAGGATATTTCTTCAATCATTCTTGAATACAGCATTTTATTTGAATGTCATAAAATCGAAAAAAAATATATATCCACACTCTATGTTATTTGATGGGTTGAAGTTATGAACTAAAGAGCCTTCAGTTATCTATCACCAAACTCATGTCTGCGGTGTCATACGGCGTCATAAATATCGTAATAATATTATTGTGACGTCATTAAAAAGTAGCGTCTTCATGACGTCACTTGATTATATCGGAGGTGAAAACGTCTGTCCTTTTATTTGGAAGTTAAATTTTATTCTTCAATACGGGTTAAATAATAAAAATGACAAAAAGAATCTTTCACAAAGGCCGATTCAATATGAACTTTATCAAACGAGTTCTATAAATTGATATATCTCCCGCTATCTCTAATTTAGGATACTATCTTTATGTAATGGGTGTAATAACACTGATAACAGGGTAGTTATGTAATGGGTGTTATTACACTGATAACATGATAGTTATGTAATGGGTGTTATTACACTGATAACATGATAGTTATGTAATGGGTGTTATTACACCGATAATAGAGCAGTTATGTTATGGGTGTAATTACACTGATAACAAGGTACTTATGTTATGGGTGTAATTACACTGATAACAAGGTTTTATGTAATGGGTGTTATTACACTGATAACAAGGTAGTTATGTAATGGGTGTTATTACACTGATAACAAGGTACTTATGTTATGGGTGTAATTACACTGATAACAAGGTTTTATGTAATGGGTGTTATTACACTGATAACAAGGTAGTTATGTAATGGGTGTTATTACACTGATAACAAGGTAGTTATGTAATGGGTGTTATTACACTGATAACATGATAGTTATGTAATGGATGTTATTACACCGATAATAGAGCAGTTATGTTATGGGTGTAATTGCACTGATAACAAGGTAGTTATGTTATGGGTGTAATTAAACTGATAACAATGTAGTTATGTAATGGGTGTTATTACACTGATAACAAGGTAGTTATGTAATGGGTGTTATTACACCGATAACAAGGTAGTTATGTAATGGGTGTTATTACACCGATAACAAGGTAGTTATGTAATGGGTGTTAGTACACCGATAACAAGGTAGTTATGTAATGGGTGTTATTACACCGATAACAAGGTAGTTATGTAATGGGTGTTATTACACCGATAACAAGGTAGTTATGTAATGGGTGTTAGTACACCGATAACAAGGTAGTTATGTAATGGGTGTTATTAGACCGATAACAAGGTAGTTATGTAATGGGTGTTATTACACCGATAACAAGGTAGTTATGTAATGGGTGTTATTACACCGATAACAAGGTAGTTATGTAATGGGTGTTATTACACTGATAACATGATAGTTATGTAATGGATGTTATTACACCGATAATAGAGCAGTTATGTTATGGGTGTAATTGCACTGATAACAAGGTAGTTATGTTATGGGTGTAATTAAACTGATAACAATGTAGTTATGTAATGGGTGTTATTACACCGATAACAAGGTAGTTATGTAATGGGTGTTATTACACCGATAACAAGGTAGTTATGTAATGGGTGTTATTACACCGATAACAAGGTAGTTATGTAATGGGTGTTATTACACCGATAACAAGGTAGTTATGTAATGGGTGTTATTACACCGATAACAAGGTAGTTATGTAATGGGTGTTATTACACTGATAACTGAGCAGTTATGTGTTGATATTTATGATTCGGAAATACTAAAAAAAACCCGATGAAATCTTTCATCCGCTTGGAAACGTTTCTCAGCCAACGAAAAGGATGATGAAGTTGTCGGAAGCTTGCTGAAGATGACTGATGGCACTTTCTGACAAAAAAAGATAATAATTATTATTTTTGTCCTTTTCTGATGGTCTGCTTTCTTGGAATTTACTATTGATAGATGTTTCGTTGACTAACCTAGATTCCGAAGGTGGTTTTGCGTCGATCATATCTTGTTTGACATAGATTTAGATATTGGTGTCGACAATGTTATTTTGTTTGGCCCAGATTTAGATAGTGGTGTCGTCAATGTTATTTTGTTTGACCTAGATTTAGATAGGGGTGTCGTCAATGTTATTTTGTTTGACCTAGATTTAGATAGGGGTGTCGTCAATGTTATTTTGTTTGACCCAGATTTAGATAGTGGGGTCGTCAATGCTATTTTGTTTGGCCTAGACTTAGATAGTGGTGTCGACAATGTTATTTTGTTTGACCCAGATTTAGATAGTGGTGTCGACAATGCTATTTTGTTTGACCTATGTAGTAACTTGTTTAAGGATATAACAGCGATTTTATGAATTTCCATAAGTCATCTTGTTCCTTACAACATGTAAAATCACTTATTTCAACATATATTCATTAGTTAAGCGTAATTTTTAAGTAAACTTAGAAAGTATTTTTGTCGAATTACCGCACATGCTGATATATAGCTGTTTTCTGTCATTGTCGAATACAGCAAAAATATGTGTTGCAGGCGTATTCCGGTAACATCACTGCCAGTTGCAGGATACATCCATGTACAGTAAACTTCAAGAACCTGTTGGTCCTGAGAGACCCTTGGTTTTTTTTTTTTTTTCAATAATAAAATTCTAAGTAAACTTCAGGGAACAAGCTGGTTCGACTTAAACTGTGGTATACATGGTACTTAAAATAGACTACTTTCTCTTATTCATGTTTAACGAGCAGGAATTTTAAATGTGATATTAAATAAGATGGGATGATTGATAGTCGTAATATATTTATGATGATATTTTAAGGTATTTCGCTATATTAATTAGATAATAAAACTAGCGGTTGATGGATGAAACGCTAAAACCATGTCTACCTGACAGTCACCACAACGAGGCTTTATGGTGAGAAGTAGAACAAAAAACAACACTTTGACGGATGTAATTAGCCGCGTATAGCTGACTCATGGGAACAGCATATCAACAAATATATCTTTTTATGGAAATAAGAGTACATTGATTTTTTTTTAATCAATTTACCCAGGAAACATATATAATCCACATCTGAATCGTAATACCGAAAAAAAACTTGCCGGTAAAAGTAGACTTTTAATCACTTAAGATAAAAAAAAATCACTTTTAATATCCTTATTAATCAATTTCCATCCCAAAGAGCGGGACACAATCGATAAACGGATCAAACGGGGGAAAATATATAGCAAGAGCTATCATCGCGAGACCCTCTGAGCATCAAAAAATGTGTCTTGCATTCAATATGGCGTCAAATCATCTCGAGTTTGAGAAAATACATAAACACAAAACAGATCTAAACCAGCTAATCCACATCAGGTTAACAGTCATCATCTCGTTTGGAAAATCTCATTTTTCCGATGCTCTTGAGAAGTCATCGTGTCTCCCTTTGGTTAATGGTCTTTACTTTGACCAATATTTACATGGCGAGTTTCGTCGGTGAAGCAGGAGACATTTCTGGTTTTAAATTTTCTTGTCATCTTCCAAGCGTTCCATTGTAAAATTAAAAAAAAAAATCTTTTCTTCGTCTTTTGCCCTCGTTTAACAGATTTTTATTGTTAATTAAGACTTTGTCAAAGTGTCGATATTTTCTTGTATTTTCAGTCGTAAGTAATCTATACGTTCTTAGATGTAGACATAACGCCCCACTCCTTTCCAAGAGTCGATTTGAAGACTTCCGGTAAGGTGTTGGAGTAGCTAGTTCACTTATTTGCGAGAAAGAAAATAGAAAGAAAAAAAAAGACCGATAAAAATGGTTTACGTACATACTCCATATTGAAATACACGAAAGTAAAATTATATTTCAAAGCTTGACTACAAACGAGAGACAACAACATCTACAATATCATTTTTTTTATTCATGATGTGATAGATATTAAGTATAATACAAGTCTGATATATTGAGCTGTTAGAAATATTCCTCTGATTTACAAAGTCAGTACAGAAGATGATGCAGTGATATGTTGTTGATGTCCAGGGGTAAAATATGATGTTATCTATTTCACAATCAAACCTGTTTATAACGGTCACTTAAAGAGGCAGAGGAAAGTGGTCTTTATAGACAGGTGGTCTTCATGTATGGTTCACTAATTAGGAATTGTTCTTACATCGGGAACCGGAGAGAAGTGTCTTTCATAATCAAGCGACTTTTATATAAAGTTTCCTTTATTGGCAAATTTGACCGTATTTAGAAAATAAACAACACGCTTAACGAGTTTTAGCGTTAATGATTTTACTTTGATGACGACAAAAACTATCAACCATGTGGCATGTCATCTATATTTCTTATGAGTATTTCAAAATGTCTTGCAAGAAATATTTTGATAAATTCTTCAAAACGCTTTGAAAAATTCCTAAGGGTAGCCGCTCTTCTTGGCTTTCTTTGCTCTCAGAGCTGCTAGCTTAGCTTTTAATGCTGCCTTCCGCTTCGCTTTCTCCCTACTGCTATGTTTCCGTGATGACTTTCGAGAACTTCGCGAGGACTTCCGAACAGAATTTCGGGAGAACTTGGTGGTAGATTTCCGTGGTGAACTTGTCTTACTGATAGGTCTCCTTAATGATACTATGTTTGTAGTGGGAATCCTTGCCGCTGTAGATATACTGGTTGATGATCGGCCGAGTATTGGGGTCCTGGTCAGTTGCGTTGTATGTGAACGTGTAAGGGTAGGTTTCCTCAATTGCACCACTCCTCGTGTAGAAACAGTATTGCGTAGATTACTGTTTGGATAAGCTACCGTGTATACTCTTCCACGTAATGGTATTTGTCCATGTGCAGCACGAATTGCCAGTTGTTCCAGGTCCTTTGGCCTTATGGATTGGACAAAAGAGGTAAGTCTGCTCGGTGGCCTCATTGTCACCCGTCTCGCAATCGTTGGCCTCTGTTGGGCCGTGGCAATAGCAAGCGAATTCGGAGATGCGATTCTGGCGACGAACCCTCGAGCGGCTGAAGGTCTGTTCGTTCTTAAAACTGATGTCGAAAGAGCGGTTTTACCACTGACTGGAAATATTGGCGCCGCACCATACTGCATCTCGGTCATAGTCGGTGCACTGTATATCTGACCAATAGGTACAACGAATGGACACACATCTGCAAAATTAGATAAAATAAAATCAACGATGTTGTTTGTCAGAGAGTTAACACGTTGGCTGAAAATACAGCACGTATACACTAACACACAGCAAAGAACTGGGAAATTTGTCAATGACATCCAGATTTTCCCACATTGTTGATTCTGGGACGTACGATATGACCTATTATCATTTCTATTCATATATAATAATTATTTATTGAGGGTGGAGGTTAACAATATAAATGTATTGATTTTGGTAAATTCTGTCCGTCATCACTACAGGAGGAAGCCGATGTATGGTATACTAACTTACTAACTAGGATAAAAAGAAATGAAAATCAAGTAAAACGAAACATGGCGCCATATTTTCTCTGCAATTTTACAAAATCGAACAGAAGTTTTAAAAATGTTGGTCACACTGTTGGCAAAACACAAATAAAATGGTACAAGACAAACCTAAATTAGTAAATATCTGCAAGACAGTGACACAGCTGTAGATGTTACGATGTTAAATGAAAGAATGATTTCGTTTCACAATGAGATATACATAGAGGAAAAACGAAAACATTTGATGACAAATATAGAATATTAGATACAGCGACACATAAAAAATGAATTAACTGAAACGTGACAGTGGTCCTTAGGTGCTAAATCGTTGAATTGAAACCATCCAGAAAAAATCGTTAGTACAAAAATTACAGAAGATTAAAACAACTTGGAAATCTGGTCCAACATTTTCCGTTCTTCTTGATTGTCATTTTTTTTTATGTTTTTCGTATATTTCTTAATATTCTCCATCAAAACATCGTTTAAATCGTTTAAAAGTGAACACTGCTTAAATGACATCATTTCTATTCTGCCCCAGTTATATAAGTCTCGGTCTTTAAGAATTTAACATTTAGAGATAAACAGAACCATGGATGCATTATCGTCTTTGGTTCACAAACAAAAAAACATTTATTGGTTTAATATAAAATTAAAATGGCATGAGAAGGTTGTTTAACACAAAGGCACTACAGCTAAGGTACTTACATTGTACAAAGCATGTTAAGACTCCCAAACAAATCACGACACTACCTTTGAAGCTTCCCATGGTGAGGAAGATACCTTAGTGTGACAATAACCTGTCAAAACCCGAGTTATATACCGAGGCAAATTCAGCGAGCATTGGTTAGTAACGGCCAAGTGCATTTCCTAATGTATGTAGGGACTGTAAATCATACTTTAATAGAGGTTAATAAATGATCGCTCTTGACACATACAACGCCTTGATTGGATCTTGTAGTGTTTCTGTCTATTGATTAGCATAATTAGATAATTAAAATCCAACAGATCTATCAACTGACATTTGATTATAGACCGGTTTATATCTACCCCTAGTGAGACATCATGTCACGATCGACTCCGTATATCATCACTTTGGGGTCCAAGTTCATCACGTGCATCCCATGAATTTAAAATTCTATCGGAACACAATGAGACTTTTATTACCGAACACTCAGCGAATGTTATACATTTTTTCACGTCCTTGTTAATTTGTAAGAACGCTGAGCATACATTTGGATCCTACATCTGTGTGAAATATAAACCTTTGTTTCCGTTTTGGATGTATTCTCGTGGTGCATGTAAGCTTCTATTTATTATGCAATTATTTACTCGAATTCGTCCGTTTGGTTCCAATCGAATTTTTCTTTTTTTAGATTTTACTTTTCCGTTTCATAATATTTTTTCCTTGTAATAAAAAATTTCTCGCCAGTCGCGGTGTTTTAAGTAACAGTGAAATGTGCTATATTTCGATAGCAAACATCTGAATGCAATTATTTTCCCGCTCGAGACAATGATACCAATGAGACGAGACAATGATACCAATGAGAAAGAAATGGTATTTTTGTTAATGTTGTGATTCTTCTATAATGTGACGTCGGGCTTATAAATACTACGAGCAAACTCCGCAGTAACTCTAACACAAAATCCGCTGATTATGTATAATATCACATCTCTTTGACCCTTATACGAGGATAATAATGGCCACTGTACACAGTATGTTATCTTACACACGCAACAAAAAACAAGGCTGATGAGACCAACACAAACTCAAGATATATGCTAAATCTGTAAATATTGTACACTACACAGCTGTCAATATACAATCTCCGACTGTCGTGCCGTGACTACTACTAACACCCTCATCTATTAATACAAAACACTATTAGGCTGTAGCTACAAAATACTAACATGCCAAAAGAATCCTAATACAAATTCAAATTCTATGAAACTAGGACAAAATATGAACAAAAGAAAGATCTTCATTAAGAAAAAGTACAAGGAAAATAAGACCAGGTGTTCCGGAATGGTAAGTGTTTTCTTGCTTCATCGACGACACCTGCAATGTAAGTCTTGGTCAATTAAAGTAAGTAATATCACGTTCCCAAATGAGAACAAAGCTACGGATTAGGTTAGTTTACGGTACCTTTACGTCCTATTAACAGCCACGGTCATTTTAGGTCATGCCAGGTTTGGTTGGTGAAGGAAAGTCTGTGTTCCAGGAGAAAAAAAAACACCGACCTGCGATCAGTACTAGGCGACTGTCCCACGTAGGCCTCGAGCACGCGACCCAGAGGTGGAGGGCTAGTGATAAAGAGGCTTAGAGGCTTTAACAACTTGGTCACCGCAGCCCCTTCCATACAACAACGGGACCAACAGGCAAACTAACGAACATCAAACATGTCCAGCTTCATATCGCACAACGGAACCAACAGGCAAACAAACGAACATCAAACATGTCCAGCTTCATATCGTACAACGGAACCCACAGACAAACTAACGATCATCAAAAATGTCCAGCTTCATATCGTACAACGGAACCAACAAACTAACGATCATCAAACATGTCCAGCTTCATATCGCACAACGGAACCAACAGGCAAACTAACGAACATCAAACATGTTCAGCTTCATATCGTACAAAGAAATAGATTATTTATCATTGTGGTCACCATGACGACCGAAAAACGTCTCTATAATTTTCATTAGCCTGTATCTATAACGTGATTATCTGTCTGTTGTCGACTTCTTGCACGCCGTAAATCGTGACAATGGGAATAGGCCCTTGAATACGAAACAACTGCGACATGTAAATATCATAGGTTGGGGATGAAGGAATATTGCTATCTAGAAATGGACAGTTCATTAAAGGGAAATTTCGTTTTAGGAAAAGATCGAGATAAGCAGCTGATGTAGAAAAGTCTGTCGTGTCTTTGATTACCAGTTCTGGTGGGTAAATACGATAAACATGGTCTAAATTCCTTTTTGTTATTTCAAGACAAGACGTCATAAATATATCTAAAAGTGAAATTAAAGGAATTTACAAGGTCTTTGTGACCTGTTTTGATAAGCTCTTCAATAAATTCAGCCGCGAATGAAAACAAAAACAAGTCAGGCAACAGAGGGGCGCAGTTGGGTCCCATAGGTATGCCAATAGTCTGTTGGAAGATCAACCAAATTCGACGAAGATGTCGACCAGAAACTCAATTATTTCTTCTTTGATTTGAACGTTTTTTGTTTTTTTTACGAAATATGCGTCAGTATACTTTACAACCACATATTTGTTGGAGAAGAAAGCATGATAATGAAGACATTCCTTCAGTTTAGAATTGGGTAAATGTGATGTACAGGGTGTAAGATCTATAATGTATTTCAGTGTAGCTATTGTATAGACCTTCACACCCCGACATAAGGTCGTTTCATCTGATCTTTATCAAAGCACTAGCTCTATTGATATGATTATTGCATCAGCAGCGTCTTGGATAGAGATCAGTTTTCACAGACATTTTCTAAATAAAGTTCAGCTCATTAATACCGTGTATGACCACCATTGGAGTCGATGCATGCTTGACAACGACTCCTCGTGTTGAAGCCTGGAAAATACCATTCCATATTCACACAAGCGCACGTGACAGGTTAGGTAACATCAACGGCTGATTTTTGAGGCGACATAAGCGACGCCACATGTCATCCCGCACGTGTTATTTTGGTGACATATCCGGTGACATTGCAGGCCACGACAGCACATTCACATTGTTCTTGATCAAAGTGTCGGTGACGGCTGCACAAACGGAAGGACGTAAGCCCGGACGATTTCGTCATGGTATTTGATGTCTTGCCACGGAATGAGACACGTTCGTGTTAACAGAGGGTAAATAGCTGATACGTTCGTGTTAACAGAGGGTAAATAGCTGACACGTTCGTGTTAACAGAGGGTAAATAGCTGATACGTTCGTGTTAACGGAGGGTAAATAGCTGACACGTTCGTGTTAACAGATTGTAAATAGCTGATACGTTCGTGTTAACGGAGGGTAAATAGCTGACACGTTCGTGTTAACAGACGGTAAATAGCTGACACGTTCGTGTTAACAGATTGTAAATAGCTGATACGTTCGTGTTAACGGAGGGTAAATAGCTAACACGTTCGTGTTAACAGAGGGTAAATAGCTGATACGTTCGTGTTAACGGAGGGTAAATAGATGACACGTTCGTGTTAACAGATTGTAAATAGCTGATACGTTCGTGTTAACGGAGGGTAAATAGCTAACACCTTCGTGTTAACAGACGGTAAATAGCTGATACGTTCGTGTTAACGGACGGTAAATAGCTGATACGTTCGTGTTAACAGAGGGTAAATAGCTGATACGTTCGTGTTAACAGAGGGTAAATAGCTGATACGTTCGTGTTAACAGACGGTAAATAGCTGACACGTTCGTGTTAACAGAGGGTAAATAGCTGATACGTTCGTGTTAACAGACGGTAAATAGCTGATACGTTCGTGTTAACAGACGGTAAATAGCTGATACGTTCGTGTTAACAGACGGTAAATAGCTGATACGTTCGTGTTAACAGAGGGTAAATAGCTGATACGTTCGTGTTAACAGAGGATAAACAGCTGATACTTTCGTGTTAACGGAGGGTAA